TCTTTACTGCTGGTTTATTTTGTCAATTTAGAAATGTGCTGAGTCACCTGAGTGTTTTTGGTATAGTTAACCCGTTGACTACTGAATTATCTAATTCCCATAGACTTAACACAGGGACCACCAGGTTCCAGTAAGCAATGGGTTAAATAGTGAGAAAATGTTCATGATTGAAGTTGCCCATGTGCTAACCATTTGATTGAAATTAGTGTAGAGTGAAAACATCTAGAATGATGAGATGTGTGAAGTATGTTCAACATAATGTAGGCTTTTTAATGTGTTTAATGGATAGATCTGTGTGTGTTAGTACCTGAATTGTAATTTAAAAAGTATGTTATTATAACGAAAATTAAAAAACATAATTCTTTAAATACAAGATTTGTATTTATATGTGTATGCAATTAAAGTAAGATACAAGCAACATTAATTATGACGCAAGGATACTTTTGTTTTAAGCTTTCGTCCTCAAAGGACATCCTCAGAAATTTAATCTGAAACACAAAAGAAACCACAATCCTTTAAAAGGCATGATGAGAACTATTAAAGCACTGACTGGTGCTATTATGTGAGAACAATTCACAAATATGTATACATTTATATATATATACATGATTTAATGTCGGAAACATTTTAACAAAGCCATTCAGCACTAGTGATGAGTATAATGTGTAAACGGAAAAAAAGAAATCGAATTTGTCTTATGGGACTTTTTCTACTACATGAATAGTACAACATTTGTATCCGTTTTCAAGTCAACGCAAGTAACTTACAACATGGACATTACAATGTTAGAATAATTTTAACTCCTTATTTGTTCTCTTTAAGGTCCACTGAAGAAAAATTCTCAATTATTACGTCGATCTAGAACTGCTTTTAATCAGGAATGCTAATAAAATTACCTATAGAATTTACTGTTTATTGAACAAATTAACTAAGCGTAAGATACTAATTTCAAAAGATACATTATTCACAGCTGTAACGAAAATCACGCAATTACAATTATTATCAGTGTTCATCATTTACTATTAATAATCAAGTTCTAATAGAAATTGAACTCAAAATGAATATTTTCTAAAATACCTTAAAGTCGATCTTCATATGCTATAATGAAAGTAAGTTTGAATATTTTATACTACTCAGTGTTATTCAGCATAATGAATACAAAATAAATTATCCACATATCCACATATATTTTACAAACCAACATTAGCCCTTAACATTCCATAGTATGTGCCAATATTAAACTATACGGTATGTGCATTTTGACGAAGCGTGTGCTATGATTTAATTTATAATTATAAATAAACTTTAAATCCCCACTGCACTATATAGCTACTTGCACTCTCTATATAGCAAACAATGCCTAATCGGTGCATGTTGGTCCCCCATGATCCCCTTTTTCTTATGTTAATTGAGAGCTGATTTGATGAGATAACCACCTGTCAGTGACCTTGCAGGGAGGTCTTATTCCCCTGGCAAAACTAGTGCAGACGGGCTTTAAAAGAAGCGTTCTACTTCTGTACGTCCACCTGAATTTGCAGAAAGAGTGACACTCTTTTATTTTCCCAATATAATTCAATGATATGTACAAAACCAAGTGCAAAATAAATTATCAAAACATTCCCGACAGGCATACTGAATAGTATGTGTATCCGAAAATGGTTTAGGATTCAATTTTTAATCGAAACTAAACATTAAAGATAAAGACCAGTTATAGTCATGCGACTGCATTGTGAAAGAAACGTTGTGAAATCGATCAAAAAAGGTTGATCATCTAGCATAGATGTACTGCAAGGTTCTGGAATCATCAAAATGATACGAAATTTGGCCCAGTCTTCATAAAGTTACAATCACTGTACACAGAAAGATGTATATGGGACTACGCACACGTACGCGACACGTGCGTTTTTATCTCTCACACACCAATAGATAAACTAATTTACCAAATATATCAATTAGTAGGCGGTTTCCAGGCAAATTTTGTATCATCATGTATTATTCAAAACATATTCTTTCACATGATTGGTAGTAAGACCTTCCATTTCATTTTTTGAAATTGGGGCGTTTCCAATACTGGTCTTTACCTTTAAAAGAAATTATAGATTTGATGATTTTCTCTAAAGGGAACTGTAACGGAGTAAGCAGTTTACTTAACCACGCTATGCGGAACTTTGCTAGCATTTCGTATTGTAATCGAATTGTAACAATGGCCTTATAAAAAACAAACCAAATTCCAGAAAATCCTATAATAGGGGTCTCATCTATGACCACTGACGAAATAATTGACTTTCATATTCATGAGTCTAACTATGATTCACTTTGTTAAGCACTAAGAACAGAGCAAATTAATCATTACAGGTAGTAAAACGGTTTCGAATTAATCCCACGCCATTGTCTACTCACACAAAGACTTGGTCTTAATTACTCTTTAAATTGATTAACCAATATAATTGATCATTTTTCCACCGGATTGAAATATTCAACGGAGTCCCGGAATTCGGTAATCTATTCCCATTATGTACCTGAATCAAACGTATTAAATACATAGCATTAATACCAATGTCACGCACACAGTGACAAATTGATCAGCAATTATAATATGCTTTAAATATCGTTAGAAGGTGGTTCAAAAGGCAATTCCTTAAAGGTATTATTCAAATAACGACAAGCGTGGGAATGGAACCCGCATAAATCATTTTAAAACAATTTTTTTATTTTCACTTTTATTAGAAACCAAAATGCGAGGTTAGTATCGACGTATGATGATTGAGTTACATATTTTGCAGGTAGTCTCATTTTATGAATAAATTAATAAATATATTCAGGCACAGACGAATCGAATATGCGGTCTACTAAGCCGAAGCATTACCAAGATATTCCTATCCAACGATCCGTTCTACGAACAGGGCAAGTTGAACAATAAATATGAATTCTCACCCTTTCTGCAACAATGGAAGAATCTACACAACAGAGTATTGATGTCAGCATTTCTGAATAAATTAGGTCAAGTCTTTGTGACGTAACATTTTGACCGATGTATTGCACTTACAATTCTACCAGGCAAGTTGATGAACAATAGCACACTCTAAGCAGGAGTTCAATTATGTAATTGAAATAATGCGTAAAAGAATGTTTAATTTCGTAACAACCATACAGGCAAACACATCATATCCTTCAGCTTTAAAGATAAAGTTGAGTTCTGGTCATGCGATTACATTGTGAAAGAAACGGTGTGGAATCGCTCAGAAAGAGTTGGTCATGTAGCATTTAAGTATTGGTGTGTACTGCAAGGTTCTGGAAACATCACAATGATACAAAATTTGACCCAGTCTTGGTGAAGTTACAAGCACTGTACACAGAAAGATATATATTGGACAACACAAACATGTGGCATAAAAATCCATCCCGATTTTTACGCTGTTACATGTAATATTTAGAATATGAAGTCATTTCAGGAAACATGTTTTATCTGAAGTTCTTCCACGCTTGCATCATACACTGTTGCTCATAACGGTGGAATATTTTTTTTTATCCCAATTTATGGAATTATTTTAAAAATAATTTAAAATACTAGATCTAGATAATAGTATACAGTCTCAGATTTTATTGAATAATAATTTGCCAATATGTGTTTTGCGTGACTGCTAAAGCATGTATATTATGCTACTATGTTTATTAACTAGGGGACCTATGCCTTTAAGTCATAAATGACAGTAATGAGGATTAATGCCTCACAAAAGGGCACTAATATAGCACATCGACACGGTGTTGATCCTGGGGCCTCACAGTTACGAGGCCATTGCTTTGTCACTGAACCATGACTGTACGCAGCGGGGGCTATGGTAGGGGGCAGTTTCCATAAATTAAAAAAAAAACAGAAAATGCAATAAATTTTCAATAATTTATTGCATTCTACCCCGGTCCCCAACATAAAAAAATCTTCTGTGTGCCCATGCCTTGAGCCATAATGCATGGCCGTCCAGAGGATTTTTTTAATGTTGGGGACCGGGGTAGAATGCAATAAATTATTGCAAATTTATTGCATTTTCTGTTTTTTTTTTAATTTATGGAAACTGCCCCCTACCATAGCCCCCGCTGCGTACAGTCATGGTTCAGTGACAAAGCAATGGCCTCGTAACTGTGAGGCCCCAGGATCAACACCGTGTCGATGTGCTATATCAGAGCCCTTTTGTGAGGCATTAATCCTCATTACTGTCATTTTATGACTTAAGGGCATAGGTCCCCTAGTTGATAAACATAGTAGTATAATATACATGCTTTAGCAGTCACGCAAAACACATATTGGCAAATTATTATTCAATAAAATCTGAGACTGTATACTATTATCTAGATCTAGTATTTTTAAATTATTTTTAAAATAATTCCATAAATTGGGATAAAAAAAAAATATTCCACCGTTATGAGCAACAGTGTAACAATGATAACGCTCACCAATTATTTCTTTACCTCTTCTCAGAACTCAACCTTCTCTTTAAGCCTCTTTCAGCTATGACTATCATTATCTCTATCATTATCCCCAACTAATAAAAGTTTTCTGTATCAGTTAAAACATTATTTGGGTATTTCCCCTCTCCGTTTACATGACTCCTTCCACCAAACTCTCCAGTCTTTCTGTTTAGATGGCACATACGTCCCGTCCTGCAACGCCCTCTCATCGGCCTCCAACCGATCCCCGAGCTGACACATAATGTTCGGTTCCGTCCCGTACGGTTTCAAAGACCCTAATTTCTTCCATTGGAAATACGTGTTATATAAGGCATCATCATTGTCCACCCTCTGCAGATAGTCGGCCAGCTCCTGCGTCGTTCGGAAGTCCTGGATGTGTATGAACGAATTAGGAGGCGCCACTTTCTCGTAGTCGCTCCTTGGTGGTCCAAAGACGATCGGGACCAATTCCCGCAGGAAAGCCTGGATCCAGAACTTTTCAGTGATGTAGTCGGTGCATTCACTGTTTTCGAGGGCGAGATAGAATTTGTATTGCCTCAGGGTTCGGTCACACCCTTGGTTCCCGCCTTGCAGGTAAGGTTACCGCAGCGGCCGTACATGTCAACGGGTACGTGCCTGGAGGGGAACAATCATAAGAAATAATAACCGTTTACAAATTATAATCAATAAGTGATACAGGGCTTCTCTAAAAGTGTATGTTGGTCCCCCTTAAAGAGAAGGGTAAGTTCTGAGAAGGGGTAAACAAATAATTTGTGAGCGTTATCATTGTATTATGCAAGTGTGAAAGAACATCAGATAAAAAAATTCCCTGAAAAGCATGGCTCTTCAAATGTCTTCATATTCTTAAATATGGCATGTAACATCATAAAATTGAACGGATTTTTATGCCATATGTTCGTGTAGCCCATATATATCTCTGTGATTGTGATCATTGTGACAGTGGTTGTAGTTTTAATGAAATTGGGCTGAATTTGTCATCATGTTGATGATTCCAGAACATTGCAGTGAACACACATAACTATATGCTAGGTGATCAACCTTTCCTGATCGATTCCACAACGTTTCTTTCACAATGCAATCGCATGACCAGAACTGAACTTCATCTTTAAAAGCAGAGGATGGAGAGGAGAAAGGAAATCAAATGCGAATGTTTAAGGCTACTGGGTGGGAGAGGTTGTGGGAGGTGGTCCATGCGTCTCCCTTTAATGTCCTTTATCCCCTCTCCATCCACTATCTCTTGCCTTATCCTTCTCGTTATCATTCATTTCATAGTGTCGATGGAATGGGTTGTATCCCCATGTTTCCCTGTAGCTACGGCACTAATTGAGCTTCCTAAATAAATCTTACCTTGCGAGTCTCTCAACAAAGTCTTCCCTTGGCCAAGATGTCCTTTGGCAGTTCGACGCCATCCACGCCACCAACTTGGTCCGATTCTGCGCCCAGTTCCTATCGTCCTCTGGATCTATCTCGGGTTTCCCTGGTCTGTATTGCCCATAGTCCGCGCGGAAGTCGGAGTCGTATCGGTACGTCATAATGTAGTCATAAGAGGTATTATAGTACCGTTTCGGTGGTATGACAATGGGCCGAGTGTGCCGAGGACTCTCTAGCGTATAGAACACCCACTTCTGTGCTGGTGGTCGATGATTGTGCATCTTATCCCAATCCCAGTGAGACCAATGAAAGAGGACCAGTGCCTCGTTGTTCTGCATCGTCTCGAAATCCATATCAACGGTTAGCTCCACGTCGCAGACACTTCTAGGGCATTGTATCAGGTGTTGACCTCCACTGAATCCCAACTCACCGGCTCTGCTGGCCCATAGGTGAACTTTCCGATGGCAGCGGTGGGATAGGGTCTTGGTAATCCTCTGGGCGTCCCGAGTCTTCTGAAGATCAATCTCTTTCTTCAGCAGAACGGACTTTGCATCGAGTTCTCGAAGCTTCTTGTCCAGAACATGTGGCTTAGTCTTAAATAATATAACGTTCTTACTATTGTTTAGTATAAAGTTACTCCTTGACTCGCGGACATTTACCATGGAATTACCATTTGGTTTAGGTTGTATTACCATAGAGTTACCCCTTGAACTGGGACGTTTTACCATGAAGTTACCATCTGGTTTACGTTGTATTAACATGATTCTATTCCTTGAATGGAGATGTTTCACTATGGCGTTGATGCTTGGAGTCACAGCTCGGTTCAAACTCTCTGCTTCCTTTTCTTCTTTGTCACCAGAGATGTTCGAGGGGCTGGGTTGCCTTAACCCATCTGGCCCAGGTAACCTGACAGACCTGAGGATGTCTTCGTCCGGGTTGAAGTCGGTCTGTTGCATAAGGAGTAACAGTTGCAGGTAACAAGCAGCACTAAGCATGAGAACCAAAACCAAGTACTGTCTTCGCAATGCCATATTCATGAAGGTCCTAGAATAAAAAAAATGAAAGCAAAACTGAATACATTCATATTAAATACATTTATAAGCAGAAGAATCGCCTTTTTAACCTGTCTTTGCCTTCAAACAGTATACATGCGTCCCAGAAAAAAATGAAACCAATATCTATTGATGTTTTATCAAAACTTAATCACAATTATTATTAATGGATGACACATATTTCTAAAGCTTAGATCCTCCTCTTTAAAGCTGATATTCTAAGCAAATAAATGTCCCTTAATTTGGTTCCTACGGCAAGCATATGTTATTGATAAGTTTTTAAATTACATAGTATATCACAAAACAATTCTGGCTACTCGAAATCCTTAATTGAAATGTCGAAAATATCCGCCTCTCTTTGCATAGAAAATCAGTCACGGCGCTGGTCTACTATATATGACATCACGTCCGGGAGAGGGTATATTCACGTACCCGGATGTTCCATAGAAAGCATGTACAGAGAGATACGATTTTCTGCTTATTTTTGTTTCAAAGGCTGAAAAGTCTAATAAATCATAATGCTATGTACAATTCTTTACCTTCCCCTAATATTTCATAGTATTAATATCAACATCCCTTTTAAAAATTATGAGATATACATGCCAACGATGTGCTATTAGTCGATATTTTCACCATGTAAATCTTGTTTTGGTGTTGAAATCGGCCCAGGCACGGAGTGAACACTGTAGCTGTCTGGTAAGTGGACCCATACACAGTTCATTACCATACATCGATCTCCCGATGGTTTCTTCTTCCTTTTCCCCATGTCTTTCGCCTTCCTTGGCCCTGAAGATACTTTATCTTCTTCCATGCTGTGCATATTGTGTGATCTACCAATTCTGACACCGGTAGTCGGGAGCAAGTCTTTGTTAGTTGTTTTTCTTAGCTGGTAACGTCGCTTTCATTCTCTTGCAATTGCCGATCAACTAGCGCACGTACGTTCCATCACAAGCAAGCCGCGCCTAGAGCAGCGGCCTGGTCTTACCTCCTTCTGCTCGTTTCACAAACGTTCGTGCAAGAGCCGCATCACTCGCGGATGAATATCGTTCGATCACTATACGTTGTCAAAAAATTATAGAGGAAGCGAGCTTGCATGATCTCATTTATGTTTGATATTTTACAACATAAAATGTTTAACTGGTACTGTATTCTTTTTTGAAGCAGTCACACATATCTATGATAAGTACTATCATAGTTCTAGGCCTATACGTTTTACAAAACTTCTCCTGTACCCCATCTGATGACAAGATAATGCATCCGCCTATTCATACGTGCATGATTTAACCTGGTTTCCCAAGCAGTAAACTCGTCTTAATTCTCTACCAAATAGGTGAATATGAGGATATAAAAAGAAATCAGCGACTGGAAAATGTTGCTTAGATATTCTTCATTCAAATGAAAACAGAAAATCCATCAAATATACTCATTAACAACAACAAATCTAAGCTCTGACAGGATATCATTTACGTAGGGATATCACTGCCATTCACTCTCACTGAGCCCATGAGTCCCGTTCGTGACGTCACGGATAGAGGCCCGACTCTACATGCACTTCCGGGTTTCAAACTTAGATAGTTTGGTAGAGTTTACTCGCATAAATTCACCATTCTAAACTTGTTTTGTCAGTTGGACACCATTTAGTGTTATTCCGGGGGTTAAAAGCTTTCTGTTGATGTAATTATCTCAATATTTAGGATTGTCTTAGAATATCAACTATAATTGAATGCAACTCATATGATGCATATTTCACCCATGAGTGATTAAACACAATATGAAGAAAGGGTACTAAAAAGTCATTCGGCGACCGGTATTTGAATTTCTGAAGACAAATCACTTTTCTAGAAAGTTCATGTGTTGCCCTTTCATATGACACTTCAATCAGGAAAAAAGAGCCAGAAATAACAAAGTTCTGTTTGTTTAAAGTAGTGCTTGCATTTCCGCATTTATTAAACGAATACGTTCCACTGGCTGCCTGCCCTAACAACATAGAAGACGAATGACTTCATGCATAGCTGATCGTCAACGAAACCACAGACAGCTAGTGATAATGAATTCGTTTAATGAAATTATGGAAATGGGATGTTTTGTTTTTCGAATGAGGTTTTCTGCATTGTAAACGGGCTTAATTATCACTTCGGAAATAGTGATATTAATGATGCAAACAGACATCTCATATCATCCGAGGACATTTTTTTTATTAGTATCACTATCGGAGCGGAAATGTGTATGCTTATGTTAATCTAACATTTATCAAAGGATATCGAATATATTATACTTCATTAGATTTCTTGTACTACAACCAAATCGTTTACTTCCCTGTTCGTCTATTCCCATATGGTATACACCTAGCCCATCTGCGTTCCATTTGGTATAATAATCATTCCATCTACTAATCATTTGGTATATCACCATTTAGGCCGATAGTCCTTTGGTCTAATTTCCATTTGATCTTATCTCCAATCAGTGTACTACCCATTTGATCTATTGCTCATTAGTCTACTTTCCAGTCGGTCTACTTACCTGTTTGTCTAACGCCCATTTTGTTTAATATTGAAATGGTCTAATAATAATTTAATATTATGGAAATGCGATGTGTTTTTTCTGAAATATATATGCTTCATTATATTTGTTGTCTACAACCAGCTCGTTTACTACCCAATTCGTCTATTCCCATATAGTATACACTTGGACTAATGATTATTCCATCTACTTATCATTTGGTATATTGACCATTTAGGCCGATAGTCCTTTGGTCCAATTTCCATTTGGTCTTATCTCCTATAAGTGTACTACCCATTTGGTCTATTGCTCATTAGTCTACTTTCCAATCGGTCTACTTACCTGTTTATCTAACGCCCATTTTGTCTAATATTGCAATGGTCTAATAATCATTTAATCATCTAAATAAATTATCATTAAAGGACTAATTGGGTTGTAAACGAACCGGTCGTTTCATAGGCAATTCACCTATACTGTCTGCATGGACAGGAGTGGAATATCAAAGCTGAAATAGTGGAAAGAACCTCCCAGGAAAAACCAAACTACTGTCTTTAAACAAAAATAGGAGTGATTCCTGACTCGACACCCATAGACAGTGAAAACGAAGTGAAAATGGAGTAAAATGGAATGAAACTAGAGTGAGAATGGAGTGAAATTGGAGTGAACGAGGAGTGAAAAGGAAATAAAAATGGAGTAAACAACTGAGAAAAAATGGAGTAAAACAACTCAATTGATAACTGACGTGACTCCCGGGGGAGGGGGGGGGGGGTGAAAAAAGATTGAAGATTCACTCTTTCCGTTTCAGAGAATACTTTGGAGAGGATTCGTCTTAAAAGTAAGGAGGTGATTCCTAACGGTTTTTAAAATTAAATGTTTAGTTTTTATGAATCAAAATCTAAGAACTATCACAATGAACAAGACTTTAAATAACTAAGGCAAGTAACAACGGAAAAAATAAATATATAAGCAAACCCAATGAAAATGCCCTAATTTATATATAAACCTATAAACCGGGACCTACATCATACAAGCTTTGCTTTTTAGTAGATCCCCGACTTTATTGATTGATGTATATGATTGTATTCTCTGTTATAACTATTATCATGTACATTATGTTTTCTATATTGTATGTTTAGTTATACTAACTACCATTGTTCATTATGTTTAATTATGGTATCTTTGATAACGTGAAATAAATAAACTTGAAAAACTTGAAAAAAATGTTTTCCTTTATTTTCATATACATCATAAGAACATCATTTAAAGTCTATCCTCCACTTTGTAAAGTGGAGATCAATTATTATTTTGTGTTGCTATTCTACACTTTAAATCTTTAGTAGACGTAATGAGTGTCTTAAAACTATGCATATTAGGGGAGATCCCTCTCACTGTGAATATGACTGACAAAGAAAGCGGACAAACTATACAGTTCCTCATGTAGACAAAGGAACATTCCTTCACTGCTATTATGTAAAAATGTGTCACATGCATATTCACCTGTTCTACACATTTTTACATAATAGCAGTAAAGGGATGTTCCTTTGTCTACCTGACGAACTGTATATTTTGTCCGCTTTCTTTGTCAGTCATATTCATAGTGTCTGGATCCACCATCATAAACACAACAGCAAAAGACATACGTTACTAATTGTATTTTGATGTCATGGGCCCTTTAAGGCTTTCTCAAGTCGACCTTGAATTTGAAGCAATGACCCTCCAACTCGTGAATTCATGACCCTCACGACTCGTTATTCGACACGTGTTTATTGTGATAAGCATCTATATGAAAAACACAATATACCATTTCTTGTGATAACAAAAAACACGAAGTTTGACGAACGTTCCTTATTGTTACCATTGTCTGTGAATGAGAAAGATTTGTTGGAAGGAAAAGTAGAAGGTTCTACACCGAGAGAGAGACCAAGAACATAATGGGAGGGGAACGTTTAGATATAGAGTGGAACCACACTGCAAGAGTGTACTAGAATGGACGAGAAAAGAGATATTTGAAATCAACCTCCGAACCTGGAGAAAATACCTTGATAGATAGATACACAAATACACTGCCAGCCAAAGCGAAACACGAATTAGGTCATAGGTTTTAAAAAAATATTTTTTATTACCCTATTTGCGACATTTTGATCTAGTCCAAGACGAGAAAAGAAAGGTGTAGAGTCGTAGAGTCGTGATATGATTTTACTATCCCCTTCACACGTTCGTGTCGATTAGGCAATGAACCTAGATAATTTTTATTTGTATCAGCCCTTAAAATGAGATTTAACTCTGACTTAAAGTTATTAGATGTCCTAAAGTTGAGAAAAATGAGAGAAAGAGGGAAATAGCATAGAAGGGGAGGGAGAAAGAAGAAGAAAGATAGAAAGGAAAAGAGAGTAGGTTTAAGAGAGAGAGAGAGAGAGAGAAGGGGGGGGGGGAGAGAAGGGGAGCGGGGGAGAAAGAGTGAAATGTTTAGTATGTCGTTTTCTTCCCAAACCTAACTCTCTTCCTTAAATTGAAAGCTTTATGTTTATTCCAGCATGAGAAAACACTAATGTTAAAGAGATTGATAACGGATTTTGGGCGATCATTGGCCATCAAAAGATCCTTATAGTTAAAGATAAACTTTAGTACTGGTAATGCGATTGCATTGTGAAAGAAAAGGTGTGGAAAGGGTCAGAAACAGTTGATCATGTAGCATGTAAGTATTGGTGTGCACTGCAAGGTTCTGGAGTCATCAAAATCATACTAAATTTGACCGAGTCTTGGTAAAGTAACAAGCACTCACATAGAAAGCTGTATATGGGACAACACACATGGTGTCGGGGCTAGTACTACGTTGATTTCCTTGTATTTCTATGCTCATTACTTAGCCAGTATACATTTTCTTCCAAAATTGTTTGGCACATGTCATTTATTTGTAATCTTGAACATTCAGTGTAATTTTTGGTTTGATTCTGTGAGAATTATTTTTTTTTCTTTTTTTACCAGTACTGGAGTTTATCTTTAAGCAAATACGAGAGACATAATGAGAGCGAGAGGTGAGATAAGGGATGGGAGAGGGGAGAGAAAGAGAGAGAAAGAGAGAGAGAGAGAGAGAGGGACAGAGAGAGGACACACATAAGAAAATAATAGGGAGAGAGATAGAGGGGAAAGAAAGAGAGAGAGAGGGGGGGTGGGGAGAGATTGGCATAGAGAGAGAGAGAGAGAGAAAGAGGGGGCAGAGAGAGAGATAGAGGGGTGGGGGAGTAAGGAAAGGAGAGAAAGAGAGAGAGAGGCAGAGAGAGGACACACAGAAGAATATAATAGGGAGAGAGAAAGAGGGGGAAGAAAGAGAGAGAGAGGGGTGGGGAGAGAGATTGACATAGGGAGAGAGAGAGAGAGAGAGAGAGAGAGAGAGAGAAAGAGGGGGCAGAGAGAGAGAGAGGGAGAGAGAGAAAGAAAGGGGCCGGGAATAAGGAAGGGAGAGAAAGAGAGAGAGAGAGAGAGAGAGAGAGGCAGAGAAGTACGTCTTTTTTCACAAACCCGTCCCTCTCTCTCTTTAAATGAAAACCTATTGCTTAACAATAACAGGAGAAAAACCTAACATAACTACAGATATTAATCACCAAAGTGATTGACAATCATTCAAGAAGTTGAACTCGGCTTTATATATACCATTGAACAATGACGTAGCGAGGTAAGGTGATGAAGTGGTGAATGGGTGAATGAAATGCGTTTTAAAAATGGCACTAATTAGGTCGGTCGGGAGAGGGTAATTATTTTCTCTCTCTCTCTCTCTCTCTCTCTCTCTCTCTTTCCTCTCTCTCTCTCTCTCTCTCTCTCTCTCTTTCTTCCTCTCAAAGGGTTATTGCTGTCATATTTCCCTCGCCTGTCTCTCTCTCTCTCTCTCTCTCATTTTCCTAAATTTCGGGAATACGTGCTCATTCGTGCCCCCTCTGGCAAGGCTGTTGTACATTTGTAAATGTATAACTCCTTGCTCTGGCTACGACCCTGTCCGTCAGCAGGGAAGAAAAGTAAGTTTCTTTCCACGCTGAATAATAAATAAGATAGTGTTGCCTACCGCTATGAAATAAAATCATTATGCAGCAGCAGTATCAGTGGTAGTAGTAGTGGTGGTAGTAGTAGTAATAGTAGTAATAGTCGTAAGATTGGTAGTATAGTAGTAGTAGTAGTAGTAGTAGTAGTAGTATGGTAGTAGGAGTAGTAGTAGTAGTAGTAGTAGTAGTAGTAGGAGTAGTAGTAGTAGTGGTGGTAGTAAAAGTAGCGACGGTACTCGACTACTCGTAGTTGTAGTGGTAGTAGTAGTAGTAGTAGTAGTAGTAGTATTAGTAGTAGTCAATGCCATTCTTGCCTAATGCGAAGCCAAACTCTACCTTATAAAATATAAACGGTCTTTTGAAAACATGATATGATAATTTAATCATTAACAAAACCATTAACATTTACTTTTGACAAGGACATCTAATTCAACACGTATTTTTTAGCACAGTACGAATCTCTTGCTTAATGTGAAACCAGACTTTACCTCGTGTAAGTAGAAAATGCCCTTTGTAAACATGATATGATAACTTGAATTATTAACAAAACCATTGAAATTTACTTTTTACAAGGACCTCTAATTCAAAACGTATTATTAGCGCAATACGAATCTCTTGCCTAAAGTGGAAAATCGATTCTACTTAATGAAAGTAGGAAACGCCTTGTGAAAACGTGATATGATAATTTTAAGTGGTTTCAAACCAAAATATAACATTATTTTCTCAAGGTGTTATAGTTTAGTAAAGCTAAACATAACATAAAATGTCGTATGCCTACAACAAGGAAGTATACATTTATGATTAATAGGACACCAGATATATCACAATTCCCCATTTTGTTTTAATTCTATTATTTTAGGTTGATGATTTTAAAGACCAAGATGATGGTGATAATAATAATAATAATTAAGAAAAAAATTATAATGATAATATCGTAGATGTGTTGATGATAAAAAATACTGATAGTGATATCGATAATGATAACGATACACTGTACCACTACTACAACAGCTACTACTATCACTTCTACTACTACTATTACTACTAGTAGTAGTCATAATAATAATAATAATAAAATTAAGGTTAAAAAAAGTATATTAACGATAATGAATACAATAATATCATAGAACATCCTCCTCATCATCATTCTACTACCTTTACCACTACTACTATTACTACTGCTGCTACTAATTATACTACTACCACTACTACTATAGTACGAAAAGTAATACTAAGAGTAACTTCAAGTAGATACGTTCATCATCTTTTGAAAAAACACTAAACTACAATATGAAAATAATGTTATGCTTGTGGTTTGAAACCACTTAAAGTTATCACATTTTCTGGTTGCACCAATCGTAGTCAAAAGCCGTGACGTCCAATTTGTAATAACTGAACTAAATACATTTGTGTAGAATATGAGAAATCGTGGATCGGAAATGTAACCAGACGAGAACTTAGAGAAAACGACTATAAGCTTAAATGATCATTAGACCAAATGATAAGTATATGAAATGACTATTGGACCAATTGGACAGTAGACTGGCTGGGTGTAGACCATATGGAAATAAATCAATCGGGTAGCAGACGAACTAGTTAAAGACCAAACGGCTATAAACCTAAGTTTTTTAAAGTCTTTTTAGTGTGATTCATGTATGTGTTCTAAAAGAACGGTTCTTGTTTAAAACAACTTTATAGTGATGTTAATAATGTGATTTATAAGATTTATATTAATAATATGAAGTGCTCACCTTTGATAAGTCGAGAATAACTGCTACTCCTGATTATAAATCCAATTGGTTGGTTGCTCCCATTGAGTCTCTCACACACAGGCCACAGTTTGCATCCATTTGCGGAGAACTCCAAAGTCTCAAGTGAAACATCTCATCTTTGTTACATTGTAGCGCGCGGTAAATACACGGACGCCCTCTTGCAATATACTCGATCAAAGTAATGATTTCAATTTTGATATCGATATAAATCTATGCTACGTAATATATGAGACTCTCACACACGGGCCATAGTTTTCATCCATTTGTGGAGCACTCCAAAGTCTCAAGTGAAACGTAACATCTTTGTTACATCGGCCACAATGGTCCCGAAATTTTAAATGATTGCAGTGCGCGGTAAATACACGGACGCCCTCTTGCATTCGATTAAAGTAATGATTTCAGTTTTTATATCAATACAAAATTAATCTACGCTACATAATATAGTGTCTTTGACCGGTTTGCAACAATACCAATAAAGTATCGAATGGTTGCATGTTGTTTTTCCGAATCTTCATAATGTCGAAGAATCGTTATTCCGTGTATTTCTTCCGAAAAATTAAATGGGGTTCATAATTCGGAATACGAAATAGGGTCAATTACTCAAACAAAATTAAAAAAGGATTCATGATTCCAAAAAGAACATACAGAGCCTTATCTCACAATTCGGAATAAGGAATCTCCTTTTTCACATTCGGATTTTGGAGCCCTATTACAATTTCGGAATCACGGACCTTAAAAATAATGAAAATACCTGTTTCACTTCCTGAACTCCGTGTACAAATTAATGTTCAGATAAACGAACATCCGGGAAAACGCAAGAAATCCTCGGAGTTATGAACCCTATATCATTTTTCTAATCATATTTATGAACTCCCTATGCGGAAATATGTGTTTAGAAATTATGAAACTTCGGAAAAACGAACCTTCGAAAAAACCGAGCGCCTTCCATTATGCCGTCGAAATTATGCTTAATTTTCATCTCTTTCTCAATCAGCATACATATTTCAATTCTGATTTCAATTCTCATAATTTTTTTTTTGAATTTAGATAGGAAGATGACTCGTGGAATCGATATACGAGATGTTTAAACTAGTCTGGGAGAAACTAGTTCCTGAAGCCCTATGAAAATTGCAAGAAATTTCTTAGTTTCTTCATTTTTTAGACAGTTGCAAAAGTTTTGAGAAATGATTAAACTGATTCAGCTTTCTGTACGTCAAAAGCCTTCTGGGGAAAGTGACAGAGACACAAGCATACAAAGCAATAAGTGAGTAAATGAATGAATGGATGAATGAGTACATGAATGAAAGAATGAATAACATCCAGATGAAGAACAAATGTATTCTTACCCTCAAAACCATCGTCAATTTTCCGTTTATAATTGTAAATTAACGCAACAGTAGATGGCGCTGTGTAAGAATACATTTCTGCTAGGATTAATTGAATGTCGTTTTTACCTTCCAGTTACAATTTATACACACACAAACACACACACACACCAAAATACACGCACACGCACCTCACACAGCTACACCCACACACACACGCAGCACCCATGCACGCCACTTGGATGCTCATCGCTCTCTGCTGTTGTTAAGTCAAAGAAAACATGTGATACATTCCATCTTTTATTTAGAGCCTACTAATTCAATAACGGTGTCTTTCATTATAATTCTTATTATATTTGCCATTTTGCTCTTAAAGGTAACGCAAAGTTTTGGGAAATTTAGAAAATTGGGTGGGTAGTAGTTTATTAAAATGTTGATACATTTTGATGCCCCTGTAGATTCGTTATAAGCACTCGAAAATTAGCCCCTAAAACACTCCTGCTTTCGGGAAATTGAATAATTGAAATTTAACGGTGCGTACAATCTCTATGAGAGGGAACTATTTTGAAGCTTCATGAAACTTCTGACCAATCAGGAGCAACTTTCGGTGACAAAACCATCCCTCTCAAGCAGCTATCACTGAACCCTCCACTACGTAGTGTAGAGTTCAGTGGTAGCTATGGGCCTACTTATAAGAATATGATATGACCTGTACACTACGATCGCGTGACATTGACATGTATAGTTCAACATATAAAGGAAAACAACTACATTTGCAGTACATATGGCGATTGTAGCCTTAACTTCTCTCTTTCTCTCTCTCTATATATAGGCCTATATGTATCTCTCTCTATATAGGCCTATATGTATTTCATTATCATCTCAATTTTTATTTTTGTAATCAAACTTATCGTAAATAACGCAACCATCATCAGCGTCGTCAGTATCACCATCATCATCATGAACAATACATCAACATCGCCATCATCATTATCGATCATCATCAACATACAAACATAAATATAATAATCAACATTATCATTTATCATCATCATCGTCTATCGTCGTCATCATCGTCATCAGTATCTTCATCTTCTCATCATCATTATCGGGTCTTTTCAATAAAAATGACATCAAAACAAATTGATTGAAAACGAACCTGATATAGGAAGTCATTTTATTAATCTGCTACCTCATTTCGCGACCATGACAGTTTTCATTTTAATGCCTTGATGCAAATGTTATTTGTAGCACACACATCAATAAAACCAAGAAATGACAGAAAGATTGCCTTTTATAAGCAAATGTAACAAAGGATTTAACGAAATATATTGATGTACACATGTACCAGCTAACTCATAGGCCATCATTAAACTGAAACAATAGCTGGCTTACCAAAGATCTGCCTGACCTAGTAAGAAATAGTACTTTAATCAAGAACTTCTTTTAACCATATAACAGGTCGAATATATAATGCAAGTCATTTAAAAATAAAACAATATTTAAGCCTTGAATAATTGAAAAAACAGGTAAAATTGCTGTTGGTATGATAACTGATAATTTCTTAGATAGTTAAAAGCCCCACTGTATTACTTGAGGCTACTTGCTCCCTCTATATAGAAAGCAATGCCTAATCGGTGACCATTGTCCCCCATGATCATCATTTTCTTATGTTAATTGAGAGCTGTGTTGATGTGACAGCCACCCGTCAGTGACCACTGACCACGCTGTGTGGTCTATTCCCTCATGGCCAAACTTGTACAGACAGCCTTTAATATGTCGCTCATCAAAATAGGAGCATGGATGACTGACCACCCCCCCCCCCCACTCCCTGGAAGTTCTTTCTACTTTCTAGCGCCACAATAGCTATACATGACTATTGTTATGTCAATGTCAATAACACAACACTCATGCCTAAATTATCCATCTCCAATCCTTAAAGCTATGGTCACAAATCTGAGCAGCGACCGACCGATCAGTAGCCTGCTCGGTCGCTGCTGGAAGTTAGGCATCGCCCAGCAATTAGGTCGGTGCCCGGGCGGCGACCGCCCAGGCACCGAGCGTATTTTGGGCGGCGAGTAAAAATTGAGCAGGCGCCGGCCAAATTTTAACTCCGCGCTAAAACTTCAGCGGCGACCGAGCGATGCCCTAAAAACGAGCGGTGCCTGGGCGGCCGCCGCTCGGTGGCCGGGCAGCCGCCGGGCAAAATTGGTTAAAAACTCGCCGCTCGGCCGCCGAGCAGGCTACTTTTGGGTTTTGTGACCATGGCATTACACATGAACTCTCTTTCAATAGGGACTTTTAGATTTGCGCGGACTGATACATGTGACGTCCATTCAAGGCAGTGCATTAAAAGGACGTTGACCGTAGCAATCCCCCATTGTCTTTGTGCGAATTTAAAAGTCCCTATTAACTCCTTTGTAGACGTTGTCCTACTTTTGTAAAAAGTAAATTATTGTAATTATTCCACTAAGAGTTTAACAACATAAAACAACGAGATTCCACTGCAGTTTAACAACACTGAACAAAAACGTGATTTCACTTTGAGATTAACATTAATGAACCACAAAATACATGTACACTCCTTTTCATAAATAGCAAATTTTAGCAATTCCACTTAAGATTTCACCTTAAACATGTAGTAATTCAAGCACTTTTATTTCCACTTGAGAAAGTAGAGTATTGCTCTTGAATTTGAAGAGGCACCATTGCTTTACCTGAACTAAAAAACATAATTTGAAAGGGAAATTATATTTCTCCTAAAAAGAAACGAGGTATTCATGAGCACTTCTTGCTCAATCAGTATAGCTACTCTCAAATCAAGTGACATTACATGTACCTGTACAGTTACTATACATTCTATTACAGATTACACCAATTACCATTTGGACTGCCATTTAAACACTGGCACATTATTTTTTATGGTGACACAAGTGCGATATGCTGCCCATTTCTGTATCTTATAAATAGCACAGAGCTCAGAGACTACTTGTAAGACCTATGTTGCGTGCATGCAATTTACACACTGTGAAATTAAAAATAAATGCAGTTCACCAGTTATGGATCAGGCCGGTTATTGTTGTCAAAATACATTATGATATTTCAGGCAACCTAACCCAGGCTCGGTTCCATGAAACTTCTTATTAATTACATATGTAAACAAAAAAATATGATGAGACAACTTTGCTCTTAGCCAATGATGCAAGGACATCAGTAGTTTATAACATTCATTGTAACTTGTTATTGATAACAAGTTTCATGAAACAGGGCCCAGGATGGAATGACCCAACTCTTCCCTCCTTACATCCCTAGCTGTATGAAAATGAGATGGTGCCGGGTAGCTATAGCAACCATGGTGGGTGTAAGACTGACAATGTAGAACAGAGAACTCATGAAATAACTGCATTGAATTCCATTGCAGTTTAACAACACTGTGCAACGAGATTCCACTACAGTTTAACAACACTGAACAACGAGATTCCACTACAGTTTATCAACACTGAACAACGAGATTCCACTACAGTTTAACAACACTGAACAACGAGATTCCCCTACAGTTTAACAACACTGAACAACGAGATTCCACTAATAGTTTAACAACACTGAACAACGAGATTCCACTACTGTTTAACAACACTGAACAACGAGATTCCACTACAGTTTAACAACACTCAACAACGGGACTCCACTGCAGTCTAACAACACTGTGCAACGAGATTCCACTACAGTTTAACAACACTGAACAACGAGATTCCACTACAGTTTATCAACACTGAACAACGAGATTCCACTAGAGTTTAACAACACTGAATAACGAGATTCCACTACAGTTTAACAAAAGTAAACAACGAGATTCCACTACAGTTTAACAACACTGAACAACGAGATTCCACTACAGTTTATCAACACTGAACAACGAGATTCCACTACAGTTTAACAACACTGAATAACGAGATTCCACTACAGTTTAACAACACTGAACAACGAGATTCCACTAATAGTTTAACAACACTGAACAACGAGATTCCACTACTGTTTAACAACACTGAACAACGAGATTCCACTACAGTTTAACAACACTCAACAACGGGACTCCACTGCAGTCTAACAACACTGTGCAACGAGATTCCACTACAGTTTAACAACACTGAACAACGAGATTCCACTACAGTTTATCAACACTGAACAACGAGATTCCACTAGAGTTTAACAACACTGAATAACGAGATTCCACTACAGTTTAACAAAAGTAAACAACGAGATTCCACTACAGTTTAACAACACTGAACAACGAGATTCCACTACAGTTTATCAACACTGAACAACGAGATTCCACTACAGTTTAACAACACTGAATAACGAGATTCCACTACAGTTTAACAACACTGAACAACGAGATTCCACTAATAGTTTAACAACACTGAACAACGAGATTCCACTACTGTTTAACAACACTGAACAACGAGATCCCACTACAGTTGAACAACACTCAACAACGGGACTCCACTGCAGTTTAACAACACTGTGCAACGAGATTCCACTACAGTTTAACAACACTGAACAACGAGATTCCACTACAGTTTAACAACACTGAACAACGAGATTCCACTAATAGTTTAACAACACTGAACAACGAGATTCAACTACAGTTTAACAACACTGAACAACGAGATTCCACTAATAGTTTAACAACACTGAACAACGAGATTCCACTACTGTTTAACAACACTGAACAACGAGATTCCACTACAGTTTAACAACACTCAACAACGGGACTCCACTGCAGTTTAACAACACTGAACAACGGGACTCCATTGCAGTTTAACAACACTGTGCAACGAGATTCCACTACAGTTTAACAACACTGAACAACGAGATTCCACTGCAGTTTAACAACACTGAATAACGAGATTCCACTACAGTTAAACAACACTGAACAACGAGATTCCACTACAGTTTAACAACACTGAGCAACAAGATTCCACTACAGTTTAACAACACTGAGCAACGAGATTCCACTAGAGTTTAACAACACTGAACAACGAGATTCCACTACAGTTTAACAACACTGAACAACGAGATTCCACTACAGTTTAACAAAACTGAACAACGAGATTCCACTACAGTTTAACAAAACTGAACAACGAGATTCCTCTACAGTTTAACAGCACTGAACAACGAGATTCCACTACAGTTTAACAAAACTGAACAACGAGATTCCACTACAGTTTAACAAAACAACGAGATTCAACTACAGTTTAACAAAACTGAACAACGAGATTCCACTACAGTTTAACAACACTGGGCAACAAGATTCCACTAACAGTTTAACCACACTGAACAACGAGATTCCACTGCAGTTTAACACCGAACAAAAAAGTGATTCCACTTGGAGTTTAACATTAATGAACCACAAACTACATGTACATTCCTTTTCATAAACGCATCTGCTTTATTAACAGCAAATTTCGGCAATTCCACTTAAGATTTCTCCAAACAATATGTAGTAATTCAAGCACTTTTATTTCCAGAGGCACCATTGCTTTACCTGAACTAAAAAACATAATTTGGAAGGAAAACTATATTTCTCCTAAATAGAAACAAGGTATTCATGAGCTCTTCTTACTTAATCAGTATAGCTACTCTCAAATCAAGTGACACTACATGTATCTGTACAGTTACTATACATTTTATTACAGATTACACCAATTACCCTTTACCAAATAATCTAAAATTGTGCAATCCGTCTAAAAGTCCATTTGCAAGCAAAAGCTTGATCATTCCGCGAAAATCTATTTCCATTTCCATTCAAAAGAAAGGGGGGGGGGTAGGGGGGGGGGTATCTTAATCTGTATGCCTTTATTGTTTATTATCTTAAAATGTGTGCCTGCATCTAGGAGACTTCTGAAACAAGCTGTGTGCAGTTCGTCGAGAAGCTTATGAGTAAAATATAAAGGAGTTCCAGAATGCATAAAAAGGAAATCATAATTGTTATTTGTTAATAATAATCATACTTTCCTTCACATATAGGTAATAGTATTAGGATTTAGATTTGGTATACAAATGTACACAGACTTTCTTGATTGGTCTAGATATATTAATAAAACTTTCATTCGGATAATTATGTCAAACAAATTTTCGTTCACCAACATCACTAACTAGTAAGCCTGTTGCATGTTTTCATGTCACAGTAGGCCATTCACCCTTCGCGAACACCATTTAAAAAAATTGTCGACATTTTTGGACTGCCATTTAAACACTGGCACATTATTTTTAATGGTGACACAAGTGCGATATGCTGCCCATTTCTGTATCTTATAAATAGCACAGAGCTCAGAGACTACTTGTAAGACCTATGTTGCGTGCATGCAATTTACACACTGTGAAATTAAAAGAAAACTGCAGTTCACCAGTTATGGATCAAGCCGGTTATTGTTGTCAAAATACATTATGATATTTCAGGCAACCTAACCCAGGCTCGGTTCCATGAAACTTCTTATTAATTACATATGTAAAAAAAAATATGATGAGACAACTTTGCTCTTAGCCAATGATGCAAGGACATCAGTAGTTTATAACATGTATTGTAACTTGTTATTGATAACAAGTTTTATGAAACAGGGCCCAGGATGGAATGACCCAACTCTTCCCTCCTTACATCCCTAGCTGTATGAACATGAGATGGTGTAGGGTAGCTACAGCAACCATGGTGGGTGTAAGACTGACAATGTAGAACATAGAACTCAACTGTATTGTCCAAAACAAATTGCTTTGTATCGGCGAAGGCATTCTGAGTTGTTGGAAATTCACCTCCTCAACGAGTTCGATTCCTAGCAGCTTGTACCTTGTTAGTCTCATCATATCTGACCGATCCTCCACCTTAGCCACCAGAACTCTATCAAGGCTATCTACCGTAGCATACATATACTCATGATCATGGGTTGCTACGATGGAAGTGCCTACGCGACCTTCCCGGTCAAAGACAGTGACCGTGCTAGGCGTGATGTTGCCGGTACTGGTGATCATTATGCCAGTCCTGGTAACGCAGATCTGCTGCGGTAGGATATTCCCAGTGGGGACCACTCTCTGTGGGTTAGGATTGCTACCATCGAAGACGCAGATCTCTGGATTAATATTTACGGCGTAGATGTTGTCATGCTGATCAGTGCACACCCGGACGAATCCTCCAGATGGCTTGCAAGCGTACCTCATACCTCTACTGCTTCCGCTGACGGTGTTGTATACAAAGAATTTACCTCCTTCATTTGATATAACCGTCCTGCCACCTGAAAGGAAAGCAACATCATAGACTTCGCCCACCTCACTCCCAAGGTATGGACTCTTAACTCCTGACAGAGTAAAGCGGTCACAACCTTTCCGATCCTCGCCGTATCCTATAACCACTGCATCCTCCGACAGAGCTGCGAGCCCGAACAAGCGTCTTTCATACAAAGGGAAAGCCATTGTTTTTACAATACTCATTGAATTATTCAATACTGCTTCACTGCCAGCTTGCTGCTTTCTTCTTCCCCTGTTTTTCCTTTGCCTTCTACTATTAGTCTTCACATGATTTGCGGCATTCCCGGTTTCCAGACTGCTAGCTGGAAGCACTCCCGCTTCTTCAGAAACCCCAGTATGTTCTGGTGTATTTTCACTACTACTACTCTCCAAGTCGTTGTCTCCAACATCTATACAACCTAGGGCAAGAAGCTCATCCCCAGCCGGACAAAACTGTACATTCCTTTTTATCTCTTCCACAAGTGGTGTAGACTCTTCGTCAGTGGCCTCCTTTAGCGAATCCTCTAGATCTGCGCATCTCAGCTGGTCTGCTTTTATCATATCATGATCTAAAGACTTACTTGCATGGTTGTTTAATAGTTGGACAGAATTACTGATCCTACCAATTACTTCTCTGTATCGACAAATACAACTCTCCAACTGCTTGTCCAAATCTTTCCTGATGCTTTCTATCTTCTCTAGTAAATCTTCCTCATTTTGCTGGAGAGTTACAACCTTGATGGCAAAGGCATCTTTGACTTCCTTCTCCAAACCAGTCAAATAGGAATTCATGACATCTCTTTGAAGGGCAGCTTTGGTCAAACACTTTTCAATGTTTGTTTTTCTCGTTGTACTCTTCTCAAGCAAAGCATCTCTCTTGGTCTTTAACTCCTTTTCTAACTCCTCCTGTTTCTTAATCTTGTGACCTTGATGGCTGTCGATATAACATGTAAGACAGATGAAATCATTACAGGGCTGACAGTAAATGTCTTTATAGACATGACTATGCAATGGACAGAATTTTGCTGATAGATCTTCATCCTGACTTTGTGATATGATGCCCATGTTGAGGATATCTTCTAGACCTTTGGCTAAGAAGTTTGGTGTCAATCCTGCTACCCGTTCTTGATCCAGTTTGGTCGACTTCCTGCAGACTGGGCAGACAATGTGATTCAGGTCCTTGTGCTGCTTGTCATATGCTTTTAAACAACACCTGCAGAAGGAATGGCCACAGCTAAGGATGGTAGCGTTCCTTATTACATCAAGACACATTGGACAGTTCAAACCCTCGTGCTTCTCTTTTATCGAGCTGGTAGCCATTGCGGTCTGCTGTCGGGATCACACTGCACAGGGGGGAAATTGAAAAAAGTAATTATCTGAACATTTTTCACATTGTTTAAAGCTAAAAAATAAAGATACCAGGGACTTGATACAAAATTTCTACCCGCCCCATCTCTTTAAATTCTTTTCTTGTTGACTTGCACTCTCATATATTTAACAAGGCGTTTTTAACAGTCCAAATGTCCTCGTAATGAGTTTCCGTAGATACTGCATGCGAGATTACTACATACACGCATTAATATACACTGTCGCTCATATAGTTGGAATATTTTTATTTTACCCCAATTTATGGAATTATTTTTAAAATAATTTAAAAATAATAGATCTAACGAGGCCATTGCTTAGCCCCTGAATCATGACTGTGCGCAGCGGTTGCTAGGGTACGCGGCCGCCCCCACAAATCCCCAAAACGAAGAAAATGCAATCAATTATCAAAAATTCATTGCTTTTCCCCACAGCCCCAAACAGAAAAAAAAATCCTCTGTAGGGCCCTGCATTATGGTTCAAAGCAAAGGGGGACCGGGGGCAAGTGTAATGAATTGTTGATAGCTTATTGCATTTTCTTCGTTTATTTTTTATTTGTGGGGGCGGCCGCGTACCCTAGCCCCCGCTGCGTACAGTCATTATTCAGTGGCTAAGCAATGGCCTCGTTACTGTGAGGCCCCAGGATAAAAATCGTGTCGATCAGCTATATTAGTGCCCTTTTGTGAGGCATTAATTCTCATTACTGTCAGTTATGACGTAGGTCCCCTAGCCGATTAGCATAGTAGCACATATATGATTTAGCAGTCACGCAAAACAAACACTCGCAAATTAATATTCAATAAAATCTGAGAATGTATGCCAATATCTAGATCTATTAGAAATAAATCATTTTTAAAAATCTTCCCTAAACTGAGGTAAAAATAATTATTCCACCATTATGACCAACAGTGCATTTAAATAACATTTTGACCTAAAGTTATTATTGTTTGTTTATTTTGTATAATACCTTTCGTTTATGTGTTCTTCGTTATTCAGTAATTGTTTTTGAAAAAAATGCAGAAATAAAATCAAATAAAAAAAAGCACATTGCCATTGCAACATCCAACATTGTTCCGAATGTGTGATGTTAGGTAGTTCATACCGTGACGTCACACTATTGCATGTGTTTTATCGCCCTCATTTCAATTTGTGCGTGGTCAATGGAAAGGGTATCAAAATTGCATTTTTATAATTCCAAACACTAGTGAGGGCTTAAAAAGTACTTTACTCGTTTTCTAGGTGTTACTTTTAATCTACATGGAACCAACAAAAAAGGGTCAACTATAAAGGGACACCTCAAAGTTAACATACGCCATTTTTAGACATTGGTATATACGCCTACATCGTCATGATTGTGATTATCGGTACACCTTTTATCTCTTTGAGTGGTACAATAAAGTGCTTACGCAAAATACTTTGCAGTTGGGCGTAATGGTCTGGATATTGAATTTTAGAGCGAGCGAAGCGAGCGAGCAACCGAAAATTACATCTTATATAAAAGACATAAAACAAACCCGGATGAGTTTTGAAGTACCATTTAAATAAAGAAGAAGGGGCTATAAGTCACTTAAAAGGTACAGGACAGTTATTAGAAATGAAAAGGTGCACATGTAAAATTAAATACGACAATTATCAGATGTGAAAATGGGGCACTTCTTGCACCTATAAAAGGACACTCAAGATATATGAAAAACGACACTTTTGAGAACAAAAATGAGACTTCTGTTGACCGAAAAGGGCACCTATCAGATTTTAAAAGGAACATTGATCAGATGTTGAAAAGGGGCTCATACAAAAGGATAAAGGGCAATGGAAATGGTGGACTTGTTACACAGGAAAAAGTGCACGTGTCGAAATAAAAGGAGCAGTTATCAGAGGAACTAAGTGGCATTTAACAGAAAGTGAAGCAGTTATTATCAACAAGGAAAAGGGGCACGATCGCTCCTAAAAAGAGGCACTTATCAGAGATGAAAAAATGGCACATTTAGAAAATAGGAAATTTAATAAATGGAATGGGACCAGGCACGTGTCAAAAGTAAAAGGGACAATTATTACAAAGAAAAAGGGGGCCTCGTCAAAGTAAAACGTGTATCTCTCAGATTTAAATAGGGGCACTTATCAGAGGTGAAGAGGGCATTTATCAGAGATGAATAGGGAAATTTACGAAAAAGTGAAGGGGATCTTTAAAAATCAACGGGGGATGCACTTATTACAAGGAAAAGGGGCCCTTATTAGAAACGGAAGATGCAGTTCTTAGAAAGGAAAAGGGGCACTTTTGGGGACTTGAACATGTGAAGGGGCACTGTACTTATGACGGTCTGTTGATCACATGGTTCGGGCTTAGAGTCTCGCCGCGACACTAATGTCCTTTGGCAAGACATTTATCTACATTCGCCACTCTCCACCCAGGTGAAGTAAATGGGAACCCGGTAGTACGAAATTTCTCGAATGCCTTAGCGCCTTATCATGGCAGCACAGATACACCTGGGGGTAATAATATTGGGTAATATTATGATACCTTGTATTGAGGTAAGTAGAATACATGTAGGCTATATAGTAGCTGCGCTATATAAATTGACCTAATATTATTATGATGATGAGCAAATATGGCGTCAACACTTCGGCAATTTATTGGTACTACTTTCAGCATTATCAATACGAATCATTTCTTAATTGTTTAAACATATTTGTGGCTTTCATGACTGGATGTGAGCCACAAATATGTTTAAACAAATGAAATTTCTCCCAGGAAGCATTACATTTATGAAAGAATCACTTCTTGTTCTTGCTTACCTTGCTAAGGAATTTTGGGCGTATGAGGCGGATAAAAGGACCGGGGTTGCCCCTCCCCGCCCCCCCCCCCCCTTCTCCCGTGTTTTTATGTATTTATAAAGTTACAATATCCGGGCTCTACCTCACATAAAAATCAGCTCCAACCACATACAATCGACGACATCTCAAATAAAAATGGTGCTTTGACACAAACGCACGCACACGCACACGCGCGGGCACACCTTCCAAATTAGCAGAAAAAAGAAAAACAGTACCCATATCTTTTTCTCGCCCCTGGAAAGTTTGTAACGGGGTAAGAGACTATGATACTACACGCACCGAAAGCCTAATTCTTCCAACAGTGTCAAAAATAATAAAGACTTAAAGGTATTACAAAGTTTTGGTATGGGGGCGTGCATGAATTTGGTTCAAATGAACATATTTTTTTTTTTTTTTTTTTTTTTAATTTCTGCATTTTCAAAATAGAACATAATCATATACATAAAGTAACAAATATTTCTTCATTTTACATAATTATACATTTTTAAGTACATTAAATAAGATGCATACAAACACAAATATAATTTCAATGAAAAAAAAGAAAGAAGATAAATTACAGAAAACGCAGGAGACCGCCATCATGAGTGGTAAAGCTTGAAATCGATGGCGGCCTCGAGAGAATAGCGGCAAACTCTTAAATTATATAATTATACACGCGAAATTGATCAAGTGGGTGCAGTGAAAGTGCATGTGCAAGTGCGAATGGGGGTCTGGTACGTAATGTTTATAATTCAATAATAGTGTATTTTAAGAATTAATAAATTAAAAATATATTCGAATGCAGAGACGAAGTTTAAAGAGAAACGATTTTGTATGAGGATATAATGTGACGTTTTAGTGTCGCTTTAAAAGAATAAAGGGTCGAGCATGATTTAATTATGTTAGATAAATTATTCCATAAATAGGAAGCATATGCGATCCTACAATATTCAGTGATCGTTGTCGCGGTCGAAATCGAGTCTTAAGTTATGAAATTGTAAATAATAAACTCTTTATGTTGTATAGCGCCCTCTCAAGGTCAAGATATCGATTAAGCTATAAAACAATGTTTCTTGACTAAAATCGACCGATTTGCTATTTCCGTTTGGAAATTATATATGACAACTATATATTCTGAGATTTTCATGGTCGCAGCTACCATCGTACGGCCGTAGGCGCTATTTGAAATTCATGAAAATTTACCGGGAGCACCGGTAATTTTTAGGGGCTAACATTTATAGTGCTTATATTACGTCCACAGGGGCATCAAAATATATCAAAATTGTAAAGAATCACTATCCACCCAATTTTCAAAATTATGGTCGCATAGTTGTATAGATGTACAGTTTCCTGCGTTCTGATTTATTAAAACTTTACATCAATTCGATAGCTGTATAGTTGTACGAATATTGGCATATACAGCCCGTTATACACGACACAATGATATTAAACCAAAAAAGAAAACGAATACTCGCACGCTTCGCTCCCACACAAAACTTTGGGGAAAATGAAAGTTTATATTTAGGCAAAGGAAGAATAACCGCCCAGCGGAAGTAAGCCCGCGGGCAAATGTATATATACGCATATATCAATGAAAATACTGCGAGTAATTTTGAGTGCATAACCCCTACTTTCAAATCCTGATTTTCCTTGATTTCACGTTTGAATAGGGCTCAATCATTAAATGGACTACATTTGTTGTGTGGTAGTGCTTATTTTACCTGACTGCTAAGAAAGCATAAATGCTTTTAAGTAAGCAACCAGACGGCCGACGGCTTAAGGTCCTCTCCGAGGGACCTGGTAGTGAGGATTAATGCCTTTAATACTAAAGGGCACTTTTTGATCCTGGAACAGCCATATACATTAGTAATCTTATCAATGTATCCTTCTATACACATTGAACATTCGATGCTTAGCAACAAGCCACGCCCCCTCCTATGTCCCATTATCATCCAGCTGACGAGTTCCGGATATATTCAAACAAACCGGAAAAGCTGAAGAATGCAACACAGTTTCCAGACATCTGTGACACAAACAAGTTGGTGTTATTTTGGTAACCTTCTACTTGTAATGCAGATTTCTCCTCGTGTTAACAGAAGACACAATCCCACTAAATTTAGTGTACCAGGTGAAAAAAATATCAG